TTAAGAAGCACAACCTGAGAAACACGCTTTCTGACTTCGACAATGTTACAGCCTTCAACGAGACTGGCCAATTATGGCCTGGAGAATGGACAGACAAGTTTGACAAGTTGGATGAGTTGTTCGTAAATGTCACGAGGAAGTACGAGTACGACGCTGGCGAAATCATCCTGAAGAATCAGCAAGATCGCAGTGCCCGTGCCGGTCTTGCAATCGCAGGCTGGAAGCCGGGCAGTGACCCGCTGGCACAAGCTATCGAATGGTCTTCCATAGACTTCGAATATGCTAATCCACCGGAGAAGACGTCCCAACAGTACTCCGTAGTCAACACCAACACATCGTTCAAGCGCTGGAAGGATAACAACAACCTGGTGCACGATGAGCGAGGGTTTGCCACATTCTTCCAGGAAGAAGCGAAGCGCTTCCTAAACGAGACAACCCAGCTGAGGCTTGGGACTATCGTCCAGAACATTACCTACTCTGACGACAGTGTCACAGTGCATAGTGGGGACGGCACTTGCATCGTCGCCGACTACGCCATCTGCACGTTTTCGCTGGGTGTCTTGCAGAAGGAGGTGGTTAACTTCTCGCCAGAGCTGCCGCTTTGGAAACGAACGGCTATCCAGTCAATGACTATGGGTGCTTACACGAAGATCTTTATGCAATTCAAGCCAGAAGACGTGTTCTGGGACAAGAGCACACAATTCTTTCTGTATGCCGACCCAGTACAGCGAGGTTACTATCCCTACTTCCAGTCACTGGATCACAAAGACTTTGTGGACGGCTCCGGCATCATCTTTGTCACCGTCGTCGACCAGCAATCTTACACCGTGGAGGCTCAGGACTTTGATACTACGAAGAAACAAATCATGCACGTTCTGAAGGACATGTTTCAAAGGGAGATTCCTGATCCCATTGACTTCTACCATCACAACTGGACCCGCGAGCCATGGGCATACGGGTCATACTCGAACTGGCCTCCGGCCTTGACGTTGGAGATGCATCAAAACATCCGTGCCAACCTCGGCAACTTGTGGTTTGCTGGCGAAGCCACCCATCCGCAATATTTTGGGTTCTTGCAGGGTGCATATTACGAGGGGAAGAACGCGGGTGAAGCTGTTGTTGGGTGCATTAAGAACAAGGATGACTGTGCTAACTTGAGATCTGTGGCTTATGATGTGTTGAATGGAACGACTAGCACCGATAAGTACACAAAGCTAAATGGATGGAGCACTAAGACTTTTGTAAAAGAACTTGGCATCAACATCAAGAGCTGAGAGAACTTGTATGTGGAGGGTTTCAGTTGATGGATGCAAGTAAGCAACGTCTGTTCAGACTCAACGTCATTACACCGAAAGTACCCGGCCACGTGCCTGCCAAGCTTCATTGGCTGTATTTCTACCACAGAGATGTGACCAATCGTGGTTGCAGTATGTTTAAAAAGACCTCGCAGGTTCAGGCGAACTAGCTTGCCTGACAGCCTAGCCTGCGCGAGGTCTCGACCCTAGGACAGTGGGCGGCATCTGACATCTTCTGAGCTAAAGGATCAAATGGGAATGACATTTCATGTTTCGGGGAAAGGAAAATTAGCATAAATTTCGCATAGAAGTCGTGCCCTGCCTTCCTTCACAAGTCTGACTTCGCTGTCTTGCACACGCATCTTTTCAGAACCCATCTTCCTCGCCCGAAACAAAGCAATCAATTATCACTGCCCCAATTGACTACAATCAAACATTCAAGCCTAAGAACATGTGTAATATTGTGCTATATGCCGGCCAGTTCAAGGAATCAGACATATCACCGCACGATGATAACTCTGGCGACTTCACCGAGACGATCATCTCCTCTGGCGCAACTCCAGCTTTGAGTCGGCGGCTGCCAGCTCGACCCCTCCTAGCAAATCCTGGCCCCATTGAATTATCGCGCAAATTTCCCTTATTCATTGAGCGGTCTTGCCTATTCCGACCAGAGAGTGGAAGGGACTGGGAAGTCTATAAGGAGACCATCCACAAGCTTTACGTGGAAGACAACCTACCACTGAAAGAAACCATGGAAGTCATGTCACAAAGACACTGGTTTCTGGCCACGTAAGTGACGATGAATTACGATCGCAAATCCGGGTGGTCTGGTGGGAAAAGACTAACGACGTTTGGGAAAAGCGAGAGAATGTACAAGAGGCAATTCTCGAAGTGGAACTGGAGAAAGTACAACACGAAAAGTTCACAACAGGAAGGTTCCGACGGGAGATGGATCCAAACTCGCAAAGGCAAGCCTTCCTGCAAACGACCACATCGGCAACAACAGAACGGCATGCGTGTGAAGGACACCCTTCTCGCAAGTACAGCCGTACATTCAAGCGACCGCTGCTCCAAGGCGATTAAGCATGCCGATTTTCCCATATTAATGCTCCACGGATGTGAAATTGAGAAACTGACGGAGGAACTCTTCGTCGCCACCTCCGACCTCATTTATGGAAGCGCGGAGGGAAGCAATGTCTGGAGAAGTACGTCAAGATTCGACAGACTCCCAAATGAACAGGCTACGAATGTTAGGAGACACTTTGAGATGGCTGTACGCCTGCTCGAGGGTAGCGACATGTCACGGGCGGGCGCGGCTCTTCGTCAAGCATTTCGCAGTATTGACTTCTTAGCGGAGGAAGATTCGTGCCTGAATTTTCGACAACTCTTGGTGTGGATTCCAATCACCTTCAACTTTCATAGACGGTTTAACGAAATGGAGGCGTACCTTCGGTACCTCTCTGAGCTCTTCAACATCAAAAAACCGGGTCAGCCGATTGCCCGAATGGCAAGACTCTTGTATCATATTGCAACAGGATACCAAGGTATGATTCGGGATTCCGTGGCACAAGTAAGCAATATTTCGGCCGATCTCTACGTAGAGCTTCGGGGAAGGGATGACCTCAGCACTGTTGAAGCAAGACAGGGAGCACTTGCGTTCGGAGACACAGGGTCTGGGCGATACGACTCGGATCTCTTAGATATCCTTAAAACTTACGACAACCTAGTGGATCTCGAACGAGAAACCCACGAGATGGGCACAGACTACGCAATCTCGATGGAATACCTCCGATTGAGAGCAATGTGGGATTTAGAAATCCTGTCTCCAGAGCGCGTAGCGGTATACAGTGAAAACTTCATTGAGAAGTTCAAGACGCTGCAACCGCCATCTTTAGACGATTGGAACTTCTGGAGACTCAATATGCTGGCTTCGACACATCTAGAGTTATCCAAGACTTATATCGACTTGAGTGCTACCGAGAGAGGAGTTTGGCATATGGAGGAATCCGTGAGATTGATGGATTACCTCATACACGGCAGGGAGCATGACGATCCGCGACAACTGGCAGAACTGGTGATTGGCCGGATGAAGCTAGTTCGCTTTCTCAAAGCTCTGGGACAGACTGAAAGAGCCGACGACGTCCTATTAGCCGTGGAGAAGTCAAGATATCTGGCAGAAATGTTGAGGAGTGACCTGGACTGCAAGACGTGAAGTCTTCAGTTGTGAGGCCGCTGTAGGCTGTGAAATAAGAGTCGTTGGCCATAACATGAAGGACTTTGTGACACAGAACTGCCATGAGGCTCTACCTGCGATTATGAACAGAATTATGGTTAAAGGCTGGAGACTCAAATTGCAGAGTCAGAAATTGGAAATCGTTTTTCTCTACTGATACGATTACCACTCAGTTTCCTGTTGACAGATTTCTCTCAACTTGTGAAGCTTCCGAGATCCAGAAAATACCTATGTGAAGTCCGTTTTGGCGTTCAATAGGTAACCGTGGATTGTAGATATTGCTCACCCTACCTTGACAAAAGAACCTGACAGAAAATTTTCGAAGGGCTCGAAACTGGTCAGTGAGAGATGTGTGCAGTCGCAGGATTTTGAGCTCATCGTGGATGGGGGGGTCAAGGACGCATGAAGACTGCCCAAGATCTGGCAATCTTGGGACTGCTGGAGGTTATACGAAGTAAATCACTTCAAATCTCAAATCAAATGATCTGGGGAAATCAGATGCCTGAAATATGAACGAAATCAGACTTATTTATTCGAGATCTGCCATTCAGGTCGTCCTAGACAGGTAGCTACCTACTTAATGATAGCAACAGCATATGGCCTGGATCTACCATTTCATTAGTGGGGTGGATAAGTCAATTTTCCTCCCATACGTTTGAGGGACACGAGAAATTCTCCACGTAGGAACTTGTGTTGTCGCCCAAGTTTCGGATCGTGGACAAGCCTACCACTGGGTCGGTGCCCTTACTATTACATGCATTGACTTGGAAGCTGGTAGTACGACACCACTGTAACCTGCATTTAAATACCTAGGAGCCGGAAGTTGGGCCCTTTTTAGGGATGATATGAATGGTGGGGGAGGGTAGTGACGTGTAACCTTCACTCAACTCCTATTTCGCCCTACCCTCCGTGATCAACCCATACTGAGCAACCAACGACGCCCGAAACTCTCGGCTATCGACGCAGCACTACTGCATGACGCACACCAGGCAGGAACAACACATCCCCAGCTGAAATACAGGGGCCATTCAGTTCATGTAGTTATAAATACCCCGTGCCAATAAATGCGGGCTTTTTAACGCCGGGATGAACGCAACGGAAACCCCTTGGTTGTATCGGCCAATGGGCTCTTGGTCAGCTCGAAAAACACCGACATTTGAAGCTAGAAGTTAAAAGGACCTGCAAAAGAAAAAAGGACAACTGCCCTATGCATGCCTCGTGCTTCTGATGGGGAAATGGCCAGGTCCACTGAGCGATCGACAGCGTTTTATGTCTGGGGTCATCTGCCTTCAATGGTGGAAGCTAGCCAGAGACACGTAGTGCCCGTACCATGATATTTTGTATTTATCTTCGATGATTCCTGCGTCTTGAATATTTGACAGACTGGTTTGCGAAGAACGAGATCACTCTACGCGATCTGACTCAGGATTCTTCCCTGCACCCTCCTGTCGACACCACTAGGCACAGACAACATGGCGCTACTGGCAACAGAGGACGTAGAAATGGGTGGTTTGATTCCCCTTCTACCTCCCAGCAAGACATTATCAGCCCAATACCAAGCGGAAATGGATCTCGTGCTCACATCTTGGAATGCGCTGGCCGATTTCGGAAACCTCATCTTACCGCCTGGCGAGCTTTCCGATTCCGGAGGCTTTTGCCTGTCGACGGATCAATCTCGACTTGACAACGGAATAAATCAGTCATGGAACCTGATCGATATGGAAGCCGTTTCATCGATTGCTTCGACTGATTGTTGGTCACCACTCTGGCACAATTCGACGGGAGTGGCCAATTTCGTCAACTTTTCACCTTTCCCTACTTCCCATCAATCCATGTCGTTTCTGAGCCCCTCATCAAATTCCTTCGTGGGATCACCCGCCAGCACAGCTTCATTGCGCCGACCTCCAATGGCTGCGCAAGAATGGGAAGCTTACAAAGACGATATCTGGCGATTGTACATGGACAAAAGCCACACATTGAAAGATACCATGCAAATCATGAGTGAACAGCATAATTTCAACGCGACGTATGTAAAATACAACGACTCCTGCACTAAAGGAATGTGTTACTGAGCAGCAGCTAAGACCTCTATTCGCAGTGAAAGGCAATACAAGCGACAACTACTAGAGGAATGGGGATGGAGGAAGAACGAAACGAAGTCTGTTCGACAGCTTCGTCGCGACCACAAGAACTTGAAATTGGCCAAGAAGAAGACATGCCGAAAACCCCGCCAGGCTCCGATCAATATTGGATATACGCTGATGACTGTTGGGCGGCGAGGGCTAGATGAAGAGCTGTTGCACTCGATGAAAATACTCATCCTTAGTTCCATGGAAGAATGGAACTACCTGACACTTGCTGGCCGTTTACCAGTTGCCGGTAAAGGCCTCGAGTTCCAGATGGCCCTGGGGTTGGAGTGCATCACTCTTGGCGATACAACAAAGGGATTCGCTGCTGTGAGCTACATGTTCCGGGCCCTCGAAGACCTTGTCAGGAAAAGCGATATCACCATTTACGCGACCTTGCTTCTTGAAATACCCTCTAAGCTCTTCGGTTTCAAGGAGGACCGTTCGATACACAACGAATATTTCACTCACGTTCACGGTTTATTGGAGGGGTGCGGCAAAGGCAATAGTTCGATCGCAAACACAGTGCGTCTGATGCGTCAGCTCACGGAAAAGGACATCGACCAAGCCCAGCGCTGCTTGCTACAACTCTACAGAGTCGCATCCGATGCCTTCAAGGAATCTAAGGGACGCGACACAGTCGACAGCATCGGACGGCGTATTGAGGCAATGAAGGCTAATGGATGCGCTCCGGACCCATCAGAAGCGGAGTCGATGATGATCGCACTCGACAACATGCAGATACTCGCCACCTCACATGAGAATCCGGAGTCGACGAAGATTATGGAGTATAAGCTCATGAAAATTGATCTCGCGCGATCGATGGGGGCTCGTAGCGACTTTGTGAGTCGTTGTAACGGGCTCTTGCAGGACATCATGTCTGATGCTATCGACAATGAATGGCGTACTTTGGAAGCCTGGCCGCTGTGGCTCTCTGGGAAGATCATGTTTCGGCTCAGCGAGTTCTCTAAAGAATATGGTGATCAAGAAGCGTGGGCGGAGTATCTGGGACATTGTGTGAAGCGATTTGTGTGTGCCATAACATTTGACGAGATTTGGGGAGAAGTATCAGATGCGCGGGTGATGCTCTGCCGTCATCAACTGGTCGAATACTCGACACAGATCGGACAGATGAACACGAAAGTGGTTGACAGGCATCGCCGGTTTATCGAAAGCTCGGCATTCTGGGAAGCGGCCATGCGAGAAGATATGGATGCGGTTGGCGAGATCTACATGTAGTGATCACAAATGAGTTTCTCTGCGAAGAAGTCTCTTTGGTCATGGGCAGGATAGAGCATTAGTATTTATATACATGATCGACCTTGTCGCGAGGCATTCTCCCCTCATGGAATACAAACTCTTCGCAAAGCAAGTTTTTGGCAAGGCATAATTACACTTGGGGGCGTTTTAGGACCCAATGTAGAACAAAGGATGGCACTGAGACCCCCAACGGACTCGGACATGGACCTCATGTGAAAGAGAAGTAGGCTACCACACTTTCCAGTCGTGCGGAGGAGGGAACGCCTAACCCCCCAAAAAACCAGAGTCGCATTCAATGTTTTGCTGAGGCGGCCACGGGTCCAACCAGCATGCAGGTGGTCTTGCATGCGAGGGCCTCTCCAACCTCGGCCGAGGGACCGGGAATGGCTGATATGAACCAATCCTAATGAGACATGCCTGAACGCGCCTCAAAGGCGCAGGATGCATGGGATTTTTAGATGCAATGTAGTTTGCAACGGATTGGTGCATGTTTTCCCACACACTGGGGCCTTGGAGGGAACCATGAGTTTCAACTCAGGAATAGCAATCACGTTCCAAGCCAGTAACCGCACCTAATGCAGCCTATTCTTCCTGTGCATATGTAGTTCTGGATAAACGTGGTAGGTATTGAAATGGGCTGAAGTCGCGATTTTATCTGAGCTTCTCTTGTTGGGTCTTTCAAATAGGTGTGATCGCTGCCACACCGGAGGCAGACAACCTATTCTTCAGACTCTTCAATATTGCCTGTGATCTCAATAATTGTGTTATACATGACCGTGCTATCATCAAGGACTTCTTCTTGCTCCTGTCTGATCAATCGTCCTTTCGATTAGGCTTTCGATTAGGATAGGTGTGTGACTCTGGCATCTGGAAAGTCCGTCTATGTTCGCAACTACACGACTGAATCTACTGGAGAAAATCAGAAGAGCATTATAAGAAAAGCCATCGTGACACGAATAGTGATCGCATTGAGAAGAAGTTGTCAGGATACCCTGAGTGCTGGACCCGACATGAGTGATGGGGCAGCAGTTCGCATGCGCGAGCGACTGAGGTTCCCGACGCAAGTACGGAGATAGACACGTGACCCTTATCGATAGCTTATCTTGTGGTCCCTTATCTGAGGCTGGGGAGCGCAGAGCTTGGGCGACAGTTGTCAAATCGATTAGAGAACCGCAATCGGGTCGGCGCACATACGGAACACTGAACTAGCGCCAGGGATAGGTATCATCGCATCGAGAATCCTTTTCAGAGAAGAAAATGTGTCGATTTTATCAATGATTATGAGCTAGTCTGAGGGCAGCATGATCGATACTATCGAAAGTGAAGCTGACAAGAACTCTTTCATAGTGGTAAGGCGAAAAACAATATCATGGTGACATGACGAGTTCCTGAGAACTATTGTTTCCCACACTATTTGTAGGACCCAACTCCAGCTCGTAAGACTTTTGATCCAATCCCTTTCTCGATATGTAGACCGGTCCTCCTGACCGACTTGCATCAGTCACTGATGATTGAAGTTCTCGTATAATCCCGTAGAAGAAAGGCGCATTCGCAACTATGCAGCTACATAAGATCTCGATTGTGGCCCACTGTCCCCTGTCAGAAACATGAATCCATGCCAAAAGATTGCAACTGGAACACCTACAGTGGATCGAGAACTTTGGGACATAGAATCTTGTAAAGTTAACGGTACACGTGCAATAGTGATTGCGATTAGTAGAATGCCGATACTGAATAGAACAGCGAGCTGGATTTTACTGGCATTCGTCAGTCCAATGTAGATAGTTATAACGAGTAGCTGACTGACGTCTTCAGATTCAGTCTAACGACAGCCAGTGTTGGAAATGGCAAGATGAGAAGTGCGATGTCAGTTGTGATGTTGCAAACTGCCATAGCGATCAAGTACACCATTCCATCTGCACAGGTCGGCTCTGCTTTACGTCAGTGATCGTCAGCAGGAGAAAAGCCAGACTCGGTGGCAAAGGGATAAACCGCGTACTTTGTCCTTCGGAAGTGAGCTTCCACATCCTAGGAATGTTAAAAAAGGCATCTGAAGCTGCTCCAGCTGGTACTTACAGCGATATTGGACGGCACTCGGCTGTAATTGTAATAATGACTATTACAGCAGAAGCAGACAAGGCCCACCACAGTGCTGTGACTACGATCTTGCTCCAGGCCACCATCTGGACGAAACGAGAGTAAAATGAAAGAAGTGCAGCCTTTAAACACCAAAGACTATAAGGTTTAGCATACTATCGATGACAGTCTGGGAAGAGCCGTACAAAAGTGCATAGCCCAATCGCGCGCCAATGAGTAGCTGGAGTCCAAGAATCCGGTCATGCCGAAGCGTCTCGAGAGTTGTTTTCTCGGCTGAAGCCTCTCTCTCGGTCGGAGGCTCTCGAATATGGGAGGGATTCAGCGCAAAAGACAGTGAAATGCAGATCGTTCGTGTTACGAGCGGAAGTAGTGCAACGGCCATGAAGATATCATCACCATGCCAGAGTCGATGAGACCCTGCATGGCCTTTGAACCGGTGATATATGCGATACACACATCGTGACAGGATCAAAGTCCCACATATGCACGCAATGACAATGTCCACAGCTATGTTGGGAGATGAGGCCATGTTGGGGCATTAATGATATGGTCCAACTTCCTTCCTGGGGAGGAGTGGTGAGGCCTATTTGATCTTTTATGCAGCCTTAACTGTTCGTTATTTTGATGGGATTCGCCTCTAGGGAGATTCACCCAGTATTGATGTGGCTGCCATGCATAATCGATGGACTCCTCAATAGTTGAGAGGAAATGTCATTTACAACATCACCCTATAGAAGGTTCAGGCTAAGCAATTTTCATGCCGCTTCGTACCCGGACCTCCTGCCCATTGGTTGATTTTCCAGCCACGGAGTTCAAGAAAACCCTTCCATTATTTCTTGCACACCTACACGTTCTGGAAACCATCACAAGGGACCGCACCTCCTTGGTACGAATGAAAGGGGGGAGGGGGGGAGGGCGATTAAGTCGCCCTACCCCGGAAAAGAGAAACGCCACTAGTTCGTCTGCGTTATTTTAATCCAAGGCCACAGACTACGCCAGCCAGGGGAATAAACATATCTTCCATCAGTACATGGCTTCTCACGCACAAGCGCACAACCTCTACTTCTCAATATCTGCTGCACAGAAGTCATTCGGGGGAGCACTAACTCTGGAATGGATTAGGGTCGGGCAATCGCAAGGAGGCAGCGCTGTCTGAGCACTGGTCGAAAGCTCTCTCTTTGCAGAAATCCCCGTCTTGGGAAGGATCTTAGTACCGCCGCCCAGGCACGGGGCGTTCGCATGAAGGAGAGATGAATGGGTTTTAATCACTCCTTGGAAGGTTTAGTTGTCACAACAGAGCGTGTAAGAGACGAAAGCTCTCACTGCATGCCCATTCAATGAGGGGTTGCGAGACTTTTATTCCCAATATAGCCAAAGAAACGTTCGATTTCTTCGAAAAGAAAAAAAGGGGGGCTTTCTTCTCACTAGTTTGTGGTCATGGCTTATCCAGCTGGAGGTACTGTGACTGACGGTCCAACAGGTGCCACCTTTTTGGTAAGAATCTTCCTTGCTTAGGAACATACATCAAAGACGGGTTTCTAGTCAAGATGTCGCCATGCCCCTTCGTCTGCGACCGAAGCGGTGTCAAATCCATGCTGACAACTGATGCATTCCAGGCCACAATTTGCACACTTACTGTGCTTGTGGCTATCATCTGCGCACGACTCCATCTACGACTGAACATCCAAAAAAAGACGTCTTCTAACAAGTGATATTTTGATGACCCTAGCCTGGTGTGCGGCGGTCCCAACATCATCATTCTACATCATCTTCAACAGATATGGCGCGTTACACCAAGATATCAGTTACGCACTTGAGAACTTTATAGGTGACGTAAAAGCCGCCCAGTACATTCTCAAGATAGGTTCCTTTGTTGATATTTCGTAATACTCTCATGAGCATGTGCTCATCAGAACCTCCCATCTGTATGCCATCCAAACACATGTGAAGTGTGTTGCCAACGAGACAGGCTGTTCGCCGCTCCCAGTTGAACCAACCCCTCATTAAGACCTTCCACGATCCGTAGCCAGATACTTAATTATATTTATATAAACTTTATATATAGATCTTTCTATTTTATTTATTTCTATCTTAATAGGCTAAGCTATTTTATTATACTCCGTATGCCTATTACTATGTGCTATAACTTGTGATAGAATGAGATGACATGGTGTGAAGAGGCACGGCACGTGACCCAAAAGGTAAGGTACCTTATTAGGTATCAACTGGGGCGGGTGGATATTCTTATCTTATCGGGGCTGCACAGAGCTTCGGCGACAGCTGTCAATTTGATTTGAGAACCACAGTCAAACTCCGGGGAAAGCTGGCCCGGAATAGCTCCCACCCCCGTCGCGCGTCCCTCCGAGTCAAAGAAATGCCCCGGTCGATCTGCTAGGACCCTTTCCTCATCTTGCCGCTTGCACGATCGCCGACTATTCCATCCGCGCACACACATCATGGCGTCCCTCGCGCAGTTACTCCTGGGCGCTGTCGCTCTCTGCGCTTCCGGCGTCCTCGCTGCGCATCCCGAAGATGGCCTCCCTTCGTACCACTACGGCGCACCCATCCACGTAGAGTGCATGAACCGCAGCTCGTGAGTATCTGTCCAAAATCGTTCCTACTTATCTCCAATAGCTTCGTCTCGACTACCTGTAGCTACAGCTCGAGCTCGAGCTAATGCCTCTTCAGCGAAACAGGCGAACATATTGAAAACTCCAATCACGAAATTGAATGGATCCCCTTCCCCTCCTGCGAAGAAACCAACAAGCCCCTCGAGTTTCAATACGGACATGAAGGCGAAGTCAACTGCACCATTCCCATGGTCTCCGATCCTTTCTTTCACCTCCTCGAGTTCTTCATCCACAACGACGCACCTCTCGCCTGCCGTCTCCCAGCCCGACCCGCGCCTCACGTTGAGACCGTCGGCGAGAAGCCCTACGTGCAAGAATACATCCCTCTCGTCTTCGCCCTCGCCGGCACCCTCCAGCTGAGCCACCTGCACGTTAGCACGCACATGAACGTGCTCCTGCACAGCATGCCGAAGCACCACACCCGACCTCACGACTCGGGTGTCCTCGATTCCGGAACGGCGTATAGCACGAGCCCATTGAGCCATATGGACGGGATATACACAAAGAGACTTGTGATTGGTGATCCCTTGCCGCTACGGTTGTCTGTTAGATGGTTTCCGACGCCGAACCTGCCAAAGTCGGAGGGTCACGTCGAGTGGCAGGGTATGGGCGGACACGTCTACGCGAGCACCGTCTTCTACATCATCACCTCCTTCATGGCAGGCGTGCTCGTCGCGTCAACGTACTTTTTTGGAGTCGTCCTGCCCAAGAGGGTACGCGGAAGAGGCATGGGCGGCGCGACGCCACTCGGTTACGGTCTCAACGGTCTCAACGGCGTTGGCAACGGTTGGGGCTACTCCAAAGCGGCCAAGAGGATGGATTGAAAGAAAGCACCAACAAAGCGTTCGCGTCACGAGAAATCTGTACGATTTGATCCGATTCATGTATATCTGCTAGCCGCCCCCCTCTTTGAGAGGCTTTTATGATGGATGAGGGGAGTTTTATTTTGATGGACGAATTAAACTGGGATGGCCTTGACCTGCCCACTTGGACTGGGGAAATGGAGTTTTGGAATCGATCATCTGGATCCGCGCACGCGCGGGCTAACGGGAGCAGGATTTGTAGCGATATCTTAATGGAACCAATACCTGCTTCAATGGAGACCCAGCGAACTCCTCTTACTGCAACTTCTTGGTGCTGTCTGCGGTGTTCACCCGCTTCAAGATGCGCAGCCACATGTCCAGTCCCATCAGCGCCGCTTTTGAGATCAGCTTAATTTGAAGATTTATCGCAAATGTCGATTGCACTTACGGATGACCACCCATGGGCCGTAGAGGTTGAAGACAAAGATGTTCTTCTGAGCCTGGCTGTACACGGCAGGATCCCAGTGGAAGACGTCGTAGATGCAGGTCAACGTCGTGAGAGCGCACTCGACGCAGAAGACGAGCACGGCGAGTTCGAACCCGGCAGTTGTGCCAGTATTTCTCGAGAATCTATAGACCATCCAGGCAGCCATGGGCAGCTGGTAGACGATCTCGATATAGGTGAAGAGCTTGAACCACGAGGGGAGGTTCTCGTGAGACGCGGTGAAGAAGGGGTCGTTGTACGTGGAGATGTAGAAGTCGCGGAGGACTTGGAGGAAGTGTAATGGGGATGAGGGTGCCGCGTAGAGAGCTGATGGGTAGAATGGGACGAGGTCGACCACTGATGAGAGGATGGTCAGCTCTGGCTTCTATGGGTGAGAGGTCGTGAAGGCTGCTGAAAGACCCGAGACGCTCCAGACACCAGAATCCTTAGTCACGACGCCACTGTTCCGCCGACAAGTTTGCATAAATACATGACAGCATATCGATAGATTACAATATTAATTGACGCAAAGCGATAGAGGTTTGACTCACAAAGCATCGCCGTCAGCTGTATGCCAGAGATGACGAGGTACGCGCTGTCGCGCCAAGTTCTTGCTGAGGCAGACATGACAACCTTTTGAGATGACTCAATGATAGCAGAGCCGGATGAATTTCTTCTGTGCTTAGATTGAGGCCTTGCGCGGATTGATGACAGACGCTTCACGATGGTCACGCCGCGTTGAGTTGAGGAAAACATCAGGGATGAGCTGGTAAGCGTATTTTCACGAAAGATCTGTGCTGACATAAGCACCAGTTCAAGCGGTGGGTGTAAGTGACGAGACAAGCTTGTCGCCGAAGGATCATCACGACGCTAGAACAAGGTTTTGGAGGAGGATTTTTGGAACTTACAAAGAGAACAGGCAATTTCTAATGCTACTTTCTATTCCCGACGTACAGAATTGACCCGCCCGACCTCATATATACCTACAGTCTCTCGACGGAAGAAGATCCGAGTCGTGCCCTCTATCGAGCCACTGGTGTCAAGCGCGCCTTCAGGGGGCCTTTATCCCACAAGATAAAGACCTGCTGCTTCTTGGCCCAGTCTTTGTAGTCCTCGTCAATTTCAATGTCAAAGTTCCAAACAAGGCGAGCCAGAATAAGTCTCATTTCAACATAGGCCAGACTGCAGCGGTTAGCGACACATTCCCGTGGAATCAGTTGGATGACGACACTCACTTCCGCCCCAAGCAATTCCGTGAGCCGATGTGGAAAGGTTGGAAAGCTTCCCTGTTATCCGATGCGAATTTCTCATCTCCCATGAATCTCTCGGGGTGAAATCCGTACGGGTCTTTGAAGTACTGCTCGTTGTGGTTTATGGCCCACTGGTGAATCGCAACAATAGTCTAGTGGCAGTATCGTCAGTAATTTCATGGAGGCCAAGTATGAGAGACTCACTCACGTTCTCAGGCACGAAATTTCCGCAGATAGTCGCTCCACCCTTGGGTGTGACTCTTGGGAGGCCCATGGAGACTGGAGGGTAGACTCTGAGCGCTTCATCCAGGCAAGCGAGCATGTAGGTCAACTTGTTGACAGATACTAGATTGATCTCCTCTTCCGTCTTGAAAGATGATCGTACCTCATCCGTAAGTTTGGCCAGACAATCCCTATTCATGAGGAGGTAGTAGGTAACTCCAGCCAGTAATGTCGCTGTCGTTTCAGAACCCCCAATGATGAGCGTGTTGCTGTTTGCTGCAAGCGTCTCGAACGAGATATTCTGTTTGACCAGTCATTAGAGAGATGATAGTCTGGCAAGGTACTAAAAATGACGTGATGACGATTACCAGTTCGTCCTTCTTCTTCAACAAGCCCTCAATCAAATCAGGCCTGCCACCCTCCTTCTTGCCGAGCTCCATACGCCTCTCCAACTTGGCCTTGGCCCTAGCCAAATTCTCGCCTCTAGCCTTCTTCGCCGCCTTCGTCGCCAAAAGCGTGAAGATGATCTTCTTCAGGAAGGGAAAATGACCTGCGGTCTGCGCGAATACACCAAGGCGAGCCGACTGGAAGATAGCTTTCACCCACGGGTGGTACTCCGACTTCTCCAAGCACCCAAACGGTTCACCAAACGCCAGATCCCCAATGATATCAAACGTCGTAAAGTTATACCACGACATCAAGTCAACGGGTTCTTCGCCGGAACAATGCTCGTGCAGGCGCTGGATCATGAGATCCACGTACTTCATGATCAGGGGCTGCTGGTCGCGAAGACTTCGCTCGCTAAAGCCGTGTGATAGTTGCCGTCTTAGCATCGCGTGCTCCGCGCCGTTCGTGTTGACGATGTTGATGGGCTGCTCGGCCGTCGGGCGGTAGAATTTTGGGGCTTTTTCGAACGTTGGCGAGCCTGCGGACCGGTGGCCCATGATATCTTTCCAAGCGTTGACGTTGCAATAAGCCAGTTCGTCTGGAGCGACGCGGACTACGTCTCCGTATTTCTTGTGAAGTTCCAAGACGTCCATAGGAAGGGCGCCCTTGATGAGTCTGTGACAGAAAGCCCATCTTGTCGCTCTCATGGAAATTGGCCCAGGGTAGTGCCGAAGTGGATGGAGGAAAAGGTTGTAGAAGATGCATGATACTGTGTACACCGCAATCTAGTGTGGTGTCAACTCAAGCAGTATAGGTTCGTCCGACTCTGATTAACTTACAAAAGCAGCGCATACCGTGATGGCGGTCAAGAAGCTATGTAGAACTGTCATGCTGACGAGAGCCGATACAACGAGCTTTTGGCGTTGTTGCTAGAAAGTTTGGAAGAATAGAGGTTCTTTGAGCTAAATATATCTTCTGCAGACTGCAGGACAATAAGATCCTGAATTTCGCGAACGCGTAGTCTGTTGCGGTCCGCCAAATCTCCTTCAATTGTTGCAAGCCCATCTACAAGGCTGAGTTCAGAAATGGCGAAGTTGCACAACGGGACGTAGAAGTTGAAGTCGCTAAACTTAAATTCGAACAGTGGTTGATCCCTACGGCCAGAAATAGAGCCCATGCCACTCCTGAGCGAAAAGCTAAGAAGCCTGGGATAGTGCTGCCTAGAGAAACCAGCAAATCATGAACAGGTACGAAAACGAGGGAGATGTAGAAGGGAAAGGGTCATTCCACGGATTGCTACTCGTTGATGTTGCATAGACCTTTCTCTCGGACGGACAGCTGGGGCAGCAGGCGTTCGTTTCAAATTCCGAGGGCCTGGAGCTGTCACCAAGTTCGATCTCAACTCCGTGCCGCAACTTAATCATTGTAGAAGTAGTGGGCCGGCAACGGGGTTCGGTATGGGAATGTCCCAGAATACGGTCCTTTTCTGACATAGCCCAGTTCTTGAGTCGTGGTTGGGGTACGCAGCTACTGCGGTAAGTGGCTAGATGTCGATCTTGCTGATCAAATATTTCATTCCTTACGAGTGTTAAGTTACGCGTCAAAGATTAAAACGATGGCTATGCTGTTTGGTCGAATATTGACTCTGTGGTGTACGTTCGTTGTCGTTGTCGTTGTCGCACGTTCATTGCGGAGGGTGCGATAACGAGAACGAGGTACGAGCGGGAGCTAGTGAGTGATCGACAAAGCAACGGACCAGGATCCACGCGGTCCTGAACGAACTGAACCCTTGGTAGCAATGGCGGTACAAGAATCCATAGATCCACTATTTCTCCAGGCGAATTGGGCTCAGTCGTGTTCAGTAAAGCGCATTCTTTTCACGAACTGTAGGATCTGGGGTCTGCTTACGCCAGTATGCGATAGCGGGCAAGGGTCAGATGATGAGAATCGCAAATAGGAGTGGATTTCGAGATCGGGAATAGTGGATTAAGATAAACGAAGTATCTTTTGGAGAAGTTACAGTCCACTGAGGTTGTCACAAGTACGGCAGGATGCGATTTACGCGGGAAACATCACCTTGTATTTGGCCGTGTGGTGCCTAACTCTCATCTTGATATACGTGATCTCTATATTCTATCTAGCGCCTGCTCGTTGTGTGAACTGATCTTATCACACTACACATCAAGTTCTCTTACTCTCTTCACTACATCTATACTACGAGTCCTGGCACACGAGTAATAGCGGCATTATGAAAGGAACTACAAAGTCTAGTTCCACGGAAAAGCAGCATATTCAGAGCTCACCAACAGAGCCTCCACCAGCCAAAATGGGACCTGGAGAGATTCCCTCTGAGGCAACCTCTGGAGAAGTCTCAGACGAGGACGATAGAAATCTCGTCACCTGGGACGGAGCCGACGATCCGCAAAATCCTATGAACTGGCCCGATTCTAGAAAATGGATCAACTTGGTCTTGATGTCGCTTTTGACTATTATCTCGTAAGTTTAGCGCCCGCGATCTACTGGAACCTGGTTTCTCACTAACTCTTTCAAGCCCACTGGTACTTAGACATCTTAATCTCTGTCAGATGTAGTCACATAGAGCTGATGTTTTACAATCATACATAGGGCTCATCTATGTTCGCCCCTGGAATCCCTAGAATCCTCACAGAATTCAAAAC